TGGGGGGGGGGGATTTTAGCTAAAAAGAGAGCAAATAAAGGGTTCTAAGTATTAGCTTCTTCCACTTGGTATCCTGTAATATGTAATACTGTATTACACTATTGAGCAATATTGAGTAACATGCCCCAATTTTGCTCTTATCGCTGACTTTATGAAAGACTATAATCAGGAGAAATTAAAATAAGCAGGGGTTGTAAAAGTAATTTGACTCTGCAGTTGGATTCTACCAGTAAGTGTTGTCCAGTGGGTCTGTCTGCCTGCAGTCCTCCTGCTAGGCTGACTGACCTCCTTGGAAAATTTCTTTCTGCCAAGTGGGTGGGAGTCTTCTTGTGTAGGCCTTCTGGTACTCATAACTTGGACTTATCACCCCGCTCTGCCACACTCTTTCCCCAAGCTGATGTCCTCCAGACGTTTTGCAGTACAATTCCATTGCCCCCAGTCAGCTCACTTTTATGACCGACAGCATGCACAGAGATCTTTTACCTGCAGCCGAAAATTAAGATTATGGAAGGCGGTCTGCAGGGACAGTCTCGGGTGGCCTCCTAATGACTAATTTATTAGGGAATCAGCTTTCGTGGATTGTAGAAAAGCTGATGCCGTAATAAATGTAAGTCTTGGAGGCGCCACAAGATTTTCCAAACTTTCACAGCAATAAATAGGCAGGGTTACCTATCAGGGCAGTCAAGTGGGGAATGGAATGCACAGCATCAGGCACAGCAGGGGTCAGGTATTTTCCCCCTGACCCTGAAAACCTTGCTGGCCCTTCTCATCTTCTGAACTATTTCCTTGTGAAATATTTTTCCCCCTTTTTCCTATCCCCAGTAAAACGATGAGCTTTATCATGTATGGTATTCCTGGCTTTAGATTGCATGTAACTTTATCATGTATTCATTGCCTCCTCTTCAGAGTGTGATATTACAGCAGTGGTTCCCTGCAATACATCCCGCTGAAAGAATCAGCAGGAGCAAAGAGCAGCCCCAAATTGGCTGGACGCGTCCTTTTCCTCCGCTCCCCGCCTCCCCCTCCCTTTCGCTCCCTCGCGCGCTCGCCCGCTCAGCAGGCCAGGCTCCAAGTGCGCCACATCTTCCAGTCTCTGGGAAGGGCGGGGAGAGAAAGGGATACTCTAAATGGACGTGCCGGATGGCCAATCGCCTTGGAAAGCGCCCGGCGGTTACGGCAGCCACCGCCCAATGGGGTGGGTCCTGAGGCGGAGCCCGTGGGGTGTGAGAGCAAAGCGCGGTCGACTGGTGGCGGCGGAGGCACTTCCCCTCTTCCCCGTCCGAGCTGCGAGACCGCCGGGAAAGGCGAGCGAGCGCGGGGAGGCCGAAGGGCTACCATGATGCGGCTCCGCAGCCCCGCGCTGCTGAGGGACCTGCTGTGGCTCAGCCAGAC